TATATATATAAACAGTTTGTCACAGGCTCACAGCCCCTCGTTTGTTGTCCTCTTCTCTCTCTCTGCCTACGGTTTACCGGACAGTTCTGTTTGTTACGATATATATATATATATATATATATATATACTTATATTTATATTTATATTTATATTATCTCAGTCTGACTGCGAAGACTGTTGGCGAGGCTGTATACTACCCCGTAGGGTAAGATTTGTAATTTTGTTCGACTCGGGGCTAACCGTGAGACCAGCCTGTGAGGAAAATTCGTGAGGGCCACATCTGGAAATATGGGTAATATAGGCCCAACAGTATTTCGATTTTCCTATACATACCCTTACTGCGAATAGCAGGCCCGGACTACCCCCAGGACAGACAGGCCCTAATGGCCTAAGCTGATAGACGGTCCTATGGCCTATAGTCGGGTCCGGTAGAGGCCGAGAGGCCGAAACTGCAATGGTGTTGGTCGGTTAGTCATTCCGGTCTAGGTGTAGGTTAGAGTACTGTACTCTATTAGTAGAATGAGGGAAATCGATTGGGGAGCAAGGGACTGGAACAAACTCTGTTATGATATTCGTTCGAGTTGGCTCATCATCAGCATCATATCAATTGTGATCTTGTTGAGGTTCTTTATTGTGATTATTTGTTGGGATTCTGTTGGAGAGTGAGAGTCATTGTGTGACCTCCCCCATTTGTGCATGGTTGAATTCCGCTGCTTATCCTTGTATGTGTGCAGTTTTGACTTTGTCACCTCTCCCCCTCATCTTATGCATGCGTGGGCATGTTTGAGATTGTCTGTGTGTGAGTGCCGGAAAAACTCGTCAGACAACCAAGTGATATATATATATATATACAGGGTTACCAGCCGGTACGTACGGAGGCCCCCGGGCGGACCTCCGTACGTTCGGGCGTTCGGGGTCCCGTACTGGGCCCGAACCCGACGGCGTTCGGCCCCCGCCAAAAATAATTTCGGGGCCTAAAAATATTTTTTTTTTTCTGAATTGTTTTTTATTGGTTCTCTATGATGTGAGGTACATGTATATAAATTTTCAAGTCATTTGGCTTAGCCTAATGTGAATTAAAAATCACCAAAGATGGCGGTGTCAAAACATGCTCGTCCACGTTTTTTTTCACTTTTGACTTTTTGTTTTCACTTTAGTTCGGGGTCTAAACAATTTTATTATTTTTTGAAACTTTTGTAGTGGGTTTTGTATTATGTGAAGTACACATCTGTAAATTTTCAGGGCATTTAGCTATGCCAAAAAACAATGAAAAATCGCCAAAGATGGCGGTGTCGAAAACATGCTCGCACACTCACTAAATTTAATTCTCTTTTTATTT